CCGTACTTGGACTTAACCACAGGGCTTCGTGTTCAATTACAGGCTCCTTATAGGTTACAGAAGCTAAAATCTTTTTAATTTTTGCCTTCAGCTAGACTTGAACTATTGATCTTGACTGTGAGGGTATGGGAGCTTAACAATTAAGCTATAGGACCCACATCTATTTATTTCTTTTTTTATTAACTTACTCTTATATATATATATATATTTTTAGTAATCTTGTTATTAAACTTTATTAAGATTTATATTTACTAATTAGTATATACTTTAAACTTATTTTTTGGGTTTGACATTTTTTAATTATTTTTATAAACACTTAAAAATAATTTGCTATACTAGTTATACAATATTAATGGTATTGTAATATTCTAGTAACTTATTTAACTACTACTTTATAATAGAATATTACCAATTTGATAACATTATTTTGTAAAAAAAATATAAAAAATAATAATAAAAATTACAATTAAAAAATAAAATAAAGAAACTAGGCTTTATAGCTTAATGATAAAGCTGCTAATCTCTTATAAACAAGGTCAACAGTTCAAGTTAGACTGAAAACAAAAATCTTAGGATTTTAACTCTATAACTTATAAGAAGCCAAATTGAATACATAGTCTTATGAAAAGTTTCAAGATGAAATATAAAAATAGATTAAGAATATTTAAAAAAAGCCAACTCTGCAAAGTAAAGACACTATGTGTAACAGTAGCATTACAAAAGATTTAGCTAACAATAGTACTGTACATATAAGTCTTTAAAAGATAGGGCAGCACCAATATCTCTGTATTCAACTTATAGAATATTTAATTAAAAGGATAATATTATATAATCAAACTGAAGTAGTGAGTAATGCAGTGCATGCAGAAAAGATCAGTAGCAAAGCATTGGTTTAACTAAAATTAAAACATCTTAGACAGGTATTTCTAAAAGTACTTAAAAAGTATTTTCTAAACAGTTATATATCATAACTTAGATAATAGGCATCATATCTGTATATAATAAGTCAAGGTTTTAGGCCTTCTTGCAATATCAAACTAGTAGTACATTGGTATATAGTCAGCAATACATCTACAGAAAAGTCTGCAGAAAGCATATATGATCAAGCTGCAGACTAAACTAACTATAAAAGTATATTTAAAAAAAGTATATAATAAACTGCAGATTGATAATCTAGATCTTAATAAATTCAGCTTTGTCACCAAGATACTAAGAAATAAATTAGCTATATATACCAAACTGATAGCAAGAAAAGCAAGAAACTGCTAAAGTTAACTAATTTGAAAGAAGAATGAATTACTGCAGATAGTAGACAAGAAGGCTACTGGGTAAGAAAAGTAAAAGGAAATTAAAGTATAACAAGATGATTTACAGCCTTTCTAGTAGTTTAGTAATAAAGATTAAAATATATAATAAAGGTTACAAAAATAGAGTACATAGAAAAATAGTACTGTTTATTTCACCAATAATTATTTCACTAATAGCTTATTTGACTGACATTATATAGAGTTAGAATTAGCATTTTATTATTTACTAGTATATATTTTTAGTAAATTGTCATTTAGTATGATGTCAGTTAAATGAGCTGTTAATGAAATGATTGTTAGTAAAATAATATAAACATATAAAAAAATATAAATATAATATTATATTTGGTTAAATATCAAACTAATTCCCTATGCATAATTACTAACACTCAAATCTAGGTGAGCCTTGGCCATTCCAGTTGGTTTAGGTCATAGATAAATTAGTCTGAGCTTCTATTCTTTTTATAATATTTTAAAAGCAGAATTGTACTTTATGTAAAATCTCAATTAAATATTCAATAAAGATAGAGGCATGGCCTTACCATTAACATTAAAAAAAAAAAATTATATTTGGTATCTAAAGCAATTAGTAATCTAGTAGTACAAATATAATGTAATTATATATAATAATAATGCAAAAAATTAAATAAAGTATAAGTTATAATTTGGCATTATAAAAAAAAAATAAAAAATAAAAAATAAAATAAAATAAGAAAAAAAAAATAGTAAATATACATTTTAAACTTTACAAAATAACTAAATCTTTTATTATTATTATTATTATTATTATTATTATTATTATTATTATTATTCAAAAAAAAACTCTTTCTGACGATCCCTCATATCAACTTTTTTTCAAAAGTCTAACTTATGAAAACTATATAGTTATTATATTTAAATATAACAAAACTCTACTTTGGATAACTAGGGAGGCTATTTACTATATGTTTGGTTGTAACTAAAAAGAGCTAAAAAGGATTTGAATCCTTGTAAGCAAAGTCCTTTGATAAAACACAAGTACTACCAAGCAAAGAAGTAATAGATAAGCTCTGGAGCTTTGTCAAGTGCTATAAGGGTTTAGGCCTAAATAGTTACTTGGTTTAATATAATATTCTATATAGCATAACTCTTACAACTCCTTTTCAAGTTGGCTCTCCTTTCTGCCCTTACTACTGGATTTTTTTTTCGGAATTTTTACCAAAAAGTGGGAAATCTGATGTATCCCCTCCAAAGAATCGACATTGTTTACTTTTCCAAATCAGTAATGTTAGTTACGAGAATACCACGAGACAAGTATCGGACTTATGATGGATGACATATATCAAATTCAAAAGGAAAATAAAAACTTTGACCATTCTCTCCACGTGATAAATGAAATATATTATAATACAGAAATAAAGCAATTGTAGAGTTTTCTTTATTTAATATTATACAGAATTTTTAAAGCCTACATAGGCAAAAATAGTGCCTTCATGTTTTTTGTTTTTTCTTTATTTTTCTTTTTTATCTTTTTTTTTTTTTTTGATTTACGTTTAGGTTTTGTAGTTAGTTCCTCCTTTTTTTTACCTTCTTTTAGTTTTTTTTTTCTTGTTCTTTGGCAAGGATTATAGAATCCTCTTGCTTGATAATTAAAGAAGAGGAAAAAATAAATTGAAGATGAAGCTAGAAAGACATTTTGGAGCTTGTCATGAAAGAAGGAAAATCTTTTCATTATGGACTTTAAGTAGTCAGATGAGTGGTTTACTTCTGCTTGAAGTAATGTGACAGGTTGCACTTAGGCACCATTAGGATAGCCGAGTGATGCTAGACTTAGTTGTTAGGTAAATTTATATAATTGTAGCAATTGCAAAAATCTTAATAAAGTACTAGCGTGACTGTCTATAGTTCAAAAAAAAAAAAAAAAAATAATATAAGTAAGTAAGTGAATATAAAAACCAAAATATTTAAATAAAGAGCTTACAGACAGGTTTTAAGTATAACAACTAGTGTAGAACCTTCAGATAAACTACTTAAATTAGACAATAACTAAAGTTAAATAAGTGATTAATTGTACATTCTTTTTATAATTGCTTTCTATGGTTATAAAACAGCCATTAGCTGAACATATAATCAATAAAAACTTGAATTACAAGTACTCTTCTTAATATTAAAAAAAAACAATAATAAATTTTATAATATCAAAAAGCTTTATTCCAATTTTATTTTTTTGTTCTAATTTTTAGTCTATAACTTTCAATTTTAAACCCTAACCTTAAATTTTAACAACAAAATAACTTTAAAAATTTTATGTTATTGAGCAACACTGGTGTAATTTTAAATTTTGTAAATTTACTATATTTATCAATTATTATAAAATGCACCTATGGTGTTTTGCACTTATTATATGTTTTTTAAATTTTCTAAGTTTTTATGACTTAAATTTTTTTACATTACGGTTAGATTTTATATTAGTATTAGGTTTTGGGAAAGGTTTTCAGGGCGTAGAACATTTTGACTTAGAACATCTCGTACTGGTTAATTAGCCAGTTTTTGAGATAATGTATGCATAGACGTAAACTAAACTAATTTAATTTAAATTTTAAGCAAGCTAGGCTAATACGTAGATAAGTTGGCTTAAATTAAGGTAAATGAGTTATTTAATTTCAATCTAATACAACTTTTTTGTTTATAAGAATCAAATTTTATATATTTTTTTAGATAATTAATAATTAAAATATGTATAACGATAACAACGCAACCACAATCCACGATCTAAGCCATATAGTTGGATAGTTGAATCCAAATTTAACCAGTTGTAAACTCTTTAGATATAACGAAAAGAGTCTCTCGTACAGCTTGCCTTAATTGCAGAAATCGTTGGATAATATACGTCTTTAACTTTACATAGATTGTAGAGATAGATTAGTCCTGTCGAAAAAAGTGAATGGTAGTCTTGTGATTTTTGAGTTATTTCGACGACTGGATCAAGATACATCGGCCGAAAGTCAGAAACAATTATCAATATGTATTACGTATTATTTTAAGATATATAAAGCTTCATGTCACGGTACCGCCGGTTTTTCTGACAGTTCTAGTACTGCTAACTTTGAGAGAATGCCGAAGGTCACTCCAGGTTAACACATCTTTACCGCACTTCGTTTCGATATGTTCTATTTTAACAAATTGTGTAATACAACATAAGAAATTTTTTATTGATCTATTAATAACTATATACATATATATATGTTTTAGGCTAATTTTATCATAGAAAATTACACATATAGGCATGTATTACAGAAAGCTAAGATATTATAGGGGCACAAAAATGCATATACACTATCCAGTTCTGTTCAAACTCTACAATATGTAAACCTCAGTGTTTATTATATAGATAAAGTTATACACCAATTCATCCAATGCACGTGACTATGGGTTCTTCATGTAACATTCGTGGAATATAAAGATGTCCAATGAAGATCTTACCGCATAGAGAACGCATGGAGATAAAAGACCGACCACATCACTTTACCGTATTACCGTATTAGTGTATATAGTAATAATCCGAGATATAAAAGGATCAAAAAACGTACCGGTGTAATTTTTTTTTAATCTAGAAAAGTTGTGGCTTGTCAAACATTCAAATACTGAGCTTATCACCGTCGCTTGCTATCATTTCACGATCTTTAAGGGTGTGCTCAACTCTTACATCAAAATATGGTTGCGGCCATGGGTGTTACATTGAAAGACCATGCTTCACAAACAGAAAAAGCGAAACAAACATACGAAGAGATAACAAAAAATATATATAAGGGTAAAGGTGTTGGGGATGTTGGACATGGTGAAGATTACAGGTGTAATTGTAAATTTAAGCCAGGTAGCGTATAAATTTTCTGGCTTAGCTCGTAGAGACTTGCTGATAGTAAAAAAATTTTTTTTTTACCCGAAAATACGAATTTTAAAAAATTTCACCTCCCGGGAAATATACATTTAATGAGATAACTTTATCAATTGAATAGGTAAGGACAACCCGAATAAGGCTTGCGGAGAATATATTGGTTGTGTGAATCGAGAACTTTTTATCGAATGCGTCGAAGGTGAATGTCCTTGTGGATCATATTGTCAGAACAGACGGTAAGAAATTTTATTGTAGCTTTTGACATTATTTGCAATGAATTTGAAATCGTGTTATAGTTATTAGTTGTTGAATAAAATTGTTGCTCTTAAAGATATCCAATTGTAAAAAGAAGCGCTTTCTAAGATGACAATAAAAGAGATTTGCTAATTGTGATCATAAGGACTTGTCACAAAGCGATAATTTAAGTGTTTAATACGAGAATTCAATGATCAATATAATTTCATAAAAAACTATGGTCAATATAGAAATAGTGTTAATAACTTCGAATGTTGAATACTTTTGTCTTTTTATCAAAATATTATACAGATTTCAAGATGCTAATTATGCCAAAGTAGATGTTATATTTCTTCCACTTAAAGGATATGGATTAAGAGTATTGGAACCGTTAAAAAAGTAGGTCGGACCCATAGTTAATTGTCTCGTATATTGATATATTTTATTTCTTAAATGAGTTTATTTTTATCAGGAATCAATTCGTAATGGAATATATTGGAGAAGTTATCAGGAATGACGTATTTATAAAGCGTATGAAAAAATACAATGAAGAAGGGTTAAAGCATTTTTATTTCATGTCACTTCAGGCTGGAGAGGTAAACTACCCAAGATATTTCTTTACATTTAAAATAAGTTATTAATGGTCTTCTTACTGTTACACAGGTCATTGACGCGACGGATAAAGGTTGTGTGGCTCGATTTATGAACCATTCATGTTCTCCAAACTGTTTTGTACAGAAATGGATGGTTGGAGAAAAATACCGAATTGGAATATTTGCTCTCCGTAATATTCAAGAAGGGGAGGAATTGACCTTTGATTATAATGCAGAACGATATGGGTATAGTCAAGTTATTTTTCATTTTATTTTATTTTTTCTTATTTTATTTTATAGTAAAATAATATATAAATTGGCCTCATAGATCTGAAGCCCAAGCTTGTCATTGTGGTGAACCAAATTGTCGCGGTATTATTGGAGGGACCAAAGAAACTGGTGATTCTATTTTATCGCAAGATTTAATCGAAGCTGAACAATTGAAACCGATACAAAGTTGTGATGATGTATTACCCTTCATTGGGCTTATGCTTCGTTCAATTGAAAAACCGGCGATGGTACCAGGATTGTTATACAGGTTACGGGTAAATTCATTCACAAATGTTAATTATCGTCCAATTATTAATTTGATTAAGATTAATAGATTCCATGTACTATTTCTATAGATTACAAACGATATTGGTATCCTTAAAATGTTTATGAAGCTACATGGCTCTATAATGCTCAAAACATATTTGCGTGAATACAAGGACAATGATGATATTCTCGAAAAGGTTGGAACACTGTTCAATGATTTATATTTTTAATAATAATTAGAAACTAACTTTGAAGTCACAATATTTTTCTGAAGACTCTCATAGTCGCAGATAAATTGCCATATAAATATAGTAACCGACGCGTTGAGTCATCACACCTTAAAGAATGGGTAATGAAATTCACGAGCCGAGATGATAGAATTGGCGAACGTTGCAGAGCAGTATGTTTTTTTTTTTGTAATCATATATGTTTTATTTATTCTTTGGACTTTCGCTAATATTATTATTATCATTTGCAGCTTATAGAGAAATGGCAAAACCTTCCAGAATTCTACAAAATTCCAAAGTACAGTGAACGAGGTCTTTTACCTCCAGAAGCTCAGAAGAAAGAACCAGAAGATACAGCTATGGTAAAATTCCGTTTCATAGATTTTATTACTAATTCATCAGATAATTACATTTAGCTTTTCAAATTAAATAAATAGGACATTGACACACCAAAAAATTCAGAAACTTCCGAACCTAAAGTAGAAAGTCAAATGACTTCCGACGATTACTATTTCTATGAGTCTGCACATGACTATTATGTCCGGTTCACAGATAGTCATTATCCGTTTCAGAATCTTTCTCAAACGGATTATTGGGTCACTCAGAAGCTTTCTCCTCATAAACAAGCTAACACATCTCAATCCGAATATACCCATTGCTCTTCGTCATATTTAAATGACCACCACAATACTGAACCTGGTTCTTCGCGGTACAAATATGACAAATATTCAAACAAACATTGGCATAACAAGTCATCGTATGGTTCATCACATGGTTCAACACATGGCTCATCACAATCACCGGCAGTTCCTCCACAACCTGAATTACCACCTCTTGCACCAAATTGGTGTGAAACCGCTGATGAATATGGTCATGTGTATTATTACAACAGGTATACTAAAGAGACATCATGGGAAAGACCAGTCGTAAAAGACGATATGAAAACCATTGACGGTTTTAGTAAAGCTGAACTTCAAGGAATTATCGAACGTGCAGAGGCTTTAGCTAAAAAAGCAGAGAAAGAAAAAGAAAGGGCGGCTAGAGAACGTGCAGAAAGCAGTAAAATAGGTGCATCCACAACTTTAAATAACAATCTTAGCGAAAGAGACTTCAGAAATGCTGTAAGGATTCTTTACTTTAATTATTTAATTTCTTTAGTAATACTAACTTTAAATATTTCGATGATAGATTGCAGCTACCGTGGTAGATTATTGTAGTAGGTTTAAACGTCACATGGATGTTCAAACATTCAAAAAGCAAGCCAGAACTGTGAGTGTATTATTATTAACATTTACAAATTTTTAATCGAGAGTTATTAATATTTATTCTTTGATTATATGTGTGATAGCTATCTCACCTTGTGCAAGATAAGGAACTTCGTCGTTCAGAATGGCGCAATGTGGTAACTTACCGCTTTACAGACGAGGCCAAAGCTCGAATCAAGAGTTTTGTGATTGACTATATGAGGAAATTGATTTCACGAATAAAATCATCTGCTGAAAAGCACAAAAAAAACAACATATAACGGGAAATTCTTTTGCTATAAAATCTTATTTAGCTTGGAGTTTAAATTTTTAAACAAATTTAATATATTTAGTTATGTATGGTGCAGAAAGTCTAATCAATCAAATAATATAGAAAATTTTGCCGACCATTACTTATCAATTGAATTGGATTGGTTAAAATTTTTATAATTCGGATAATTTTTTTAATATATAATACTGCTGAAACTTTAAAAATGCTAAATTATTGTATCTTGATAAAATTATAAAGGTTTAAAATTAAATACATAGCTTTGTAAAGAGCTATCTAACGACGTTTTTTTTAATAATTATTTATTTAGATACAAGCTTATTGTTACGCGGTTTAAAAAATTGATGTTTAAAATATTTGATTCAACTAGACTTTTCGCACCGTATTAAAATTATGAAGGTTGTTTTTTAGCTGTATCGGGTGTGTGCATTGTTATTTAATTGCATTTTTAGACAAAATACATATCGATATATAATGAATTTGTAGAATGTCAACTAGTGTTTTTTCTAAAGCAACCTCAGTCATTTATTTTATGCAATTAAGATACGCATAAAAATATGAAAAATTCTTCTGAGTAAATTTACTAGATAAGATATGCTTTATTTTACCTATTAATAGTGGTTGTTAATTTTTATTATGTGGTAAGTAATAGTTTTTCAAAATAATATTTTAAACAAAGTAATCAAAAATTTTAAAATTTTAAATTTTATTAAATAACTTTTAAGCTTTAATAAATATTTTTAGTTTGTGTTATAGGTAAAGTTGTTTATATTTTGCAATATATATACTTTTTACACTTAGACAGTCTTGATAATCTACTTTATTAGATATGCACTTCATACAAAATATATCTAGTTTAAATTTTGTACTAGTTACTTTTATAACAGTTAATCAATATGTTACATGTTATAATTTTTAATAATAAGTCAAATAATCAACATATTTAAATTTTATAAGCAAAATTTAAACAAAATTTGTTATTTAGACTTATTTATCAATAAAGATATTAATTTAATTTTTTTTTAGTATTAAGATAAGGTCTTGCCTATATCTTTATTAGTAATTTAAAATAGTTATATATATATACATTATGGCTAAAACTAGTATTTGTAGTCAGAGTTAATTATTAAATAACTAATTATATAGCTACTACTATTTGTATAATATAAATAAATTAAAAATTACATTTAAAAATAAAAATTTAGACTAATTTATTAGCAATCTAAACCTATTAGAGTAATTAAAACTCACTTATATTTGAATATTTAGTATATAGTTTGATAATTTTGTTATAGAACTAATTATTATTATTTTATTATCATTAGTTATTATTATTTTATTATTACTATTTAATATTAGTTATTTTATTATTGTATTATTATTATTGGTAGTTGTTAGAACTTTCTGATTAATTGGTAATCAGTTAGTTACTTAGTCTCTTAGTTACTTAGTCACTTAGTTGTCTAGTCATTTAGCCACTTAGTTGCTTAGTAATTAATTGCTTAGTAATTATTAGTCATTAGTTGCTAGAACCTTTCAGTCATTTAGTAATCACTTAGTTACTTAATATTTAGTTACTTAGTTGCTTAATTGCTTAGTCATTTGGTTATTTAGCCACTTAGCTTATATATATAAACTTTGCTAAATTCCTTAAGTACAATTAAGCAACAGACACCTTTCTTCTCTTTTATATTATAAATACATCTTGGAATTCTTTATAAATAAAAACCTAAAAATAGTCTTTTTTGTTATTACTTTAATAAATGATTGTTGCGGAATGGGGTCCTGTAGCCTAGTGGTCTAGGCGCCCCTCCCTCCACAGACAATGTCGACAGTTCAATCTCAGCTGGAGGCAACTCTGTAATCTACAGAAGCATATGAATATACGCGAAGCCCTGTGGCTAAGTCCATGTGATTAGAAGATCAGTGTATAAGGAAGTTCCCGGAAAAAAGATTCCCAATATGGAGAGTTGGCGCTCGATGCAAGAAAAGCAGTGAACATACCAGAAATGGAGAGAAGACGCACTAGCAAGTGATATGGTAAACATAAAAGGAAACTATAGAAAAGGAATGGACTTACTGAAATTCGAACACTTCTGACATCAAACCAGTTCTAGTAGATACAGGATCTATTAAAATTGGATAAATCTAAGGGGTATTCTTGATACCATACTTAGTAAGTCTGCATCGAGGATAAATTCGAGGGATTATGGATACCTGGTAACATCCAATGAGGTGGTACCTTGATATAAATAGTAATTAGATAGCTCTAATCTGGCATGTCCATATGGTAATAGAAGCATTGCATATATGCAATAGGATTGAAATCAGAAAGTTTAAATAGGAGATTCACAGGCAGATCTCAGGTATGACAGCAAGTGGGTAACCCTTGGGCGGAACCCTTAATTAGATAATAACTAAAGTTATATGTGTGACTAGTTGTACTTTTGTTGATAGACTTTGTATATACTTGAATAATGATATATTACCCAATAAAGACAGACAGGCAAGATTGCCGCTTTAAAATAAAATAAAAATAAAAAAAAAAAAAATAAAAAATAAATGATTGTTGACTATAAACTATATTAATACTCTTTCTCTAAGGTAATTCCTATAGACAAGGTTTATCTCTTCTTAGTGAAATAAAGTAAAGTTATTAGTATTACATTATTTTTTCCAAACTGTTTCAGAGAAAAGTATAGTTTCTTGACAACATTTAACAAAAGCTATATTTTCTTCTTGAATACTGCATATACTTATAAGAGATTCTTTGTACTATGTTGTTATTATAGTATAAAAATTAAGAAGACTTTCACCTATAAAATTTGATGTTTTTGATAAAAAGATTAAATTTTTAAAAAAAACAAATCACCTCAGACAAGTCATTTCCAAATAGATTGGAAAAGTTATTCTAGCAATAGACTCAGATGAGTATTAGTTATTCTGATAAGAAATCTAAATAAATATTAGTTATCTTAGCAAAAGACTCAAATAAGTATTAGTTATCCTGACAAGAGACTTAAATAAGTATTAGTTAATTAACAAAAGACCCAAATAAGTATTAGTTATTTTGATAAAGTTTCAGATGTACAAACACCTCTTCTTTTATAGTTCATATTGCTACTGAACTTCACAACAAAAACATTCAAAGCTATCAACAAGCATACCTAACTAGATCTCATCTTGCAGTAGATGTACTTCAAGCACAATATCTAGATTTATCTTATCTTCAGTATTACTTTCCTTAATGTACTAGCTTTTACTCAGATTTTGAATGATTTTGAACTTGATACAGAACCAACTTTGTAGCTAAACATTATTTCTTCCAAACTTAGAACAACTTTATCATTCTTACTACCTCATATCCAAACTGAATTACACTTACTTTTGTATTAAAATTATTATTTTTAGTTGTTGATATTAACAAGATATTGGTAATCCTAGAACAATTGTTTTAATTCTAGTTAGAAAATATACCAATCTTTTTCAACTTCCTACTTTATCTTTTAAATACCAAAACACCTTTAATCTTCATTTTGATGCTCTTCTAAGTTTTAGTTTTGAAGAACCAGAAGAATTTAGTCAACATTTTAAAAACTTAGGAAGTCCTATTTTACCATCTACTACTAATATTACTTTTACTAATAATATTCCCTTCTTATACAACCTAGCAGATAGCTTAGCTATGTATAGAATTAGTTATATCTACTGAATTTTTTAAAAGTTTTTACACTTCTGATTGGACTTCACAAATCTTCTTATTATTTACTAACAATTTAGAAAAAAAAGAATATATTACTGTTTCTATAAACTTTACAGAAATCTTTAGTTCACATCACACTCCTACTGACTTACTGCAACAGACTCTTGAAGATAGTTCTTCACTTTTATTTCAACTTGCTTTTTCTTTACTTCAACCTATTGCTATTCAACTTCAACCTATTCAACCTCAATCTTAACTTCTTTCTCTACTTTCACCTATTCTTAATAATCCTCTTGATCTACCTAATAACATGACACAACAAGCTTTACAAAATGCTGTACAAGCTATGACTGACCTTACTAATGCTCTAAATAGAAGTGAAAAAGCTCTTATAAAGGCTAACTTCTTTTATAATAATGGAACTCAAAACTCAGAATAATGACTCAAAAATTTTTGAAGAGCCACTACTGCTAACAAGTAAGATACTGCTTGAAAACTGGAGCTTATTTTTGTATACTTAAAAGAAATTGCATTAAATTGGTAGCAAAGTCTTCATTCTGTTTTAAATGCTTTTGATAATAAATCCATCAAAACAGAAGCTTTAAACATCTTTTTAGATTTTGCTTTCATACATCTAAACAAAAAGCTATTTAACAAAAACAACTTTTTAATATTAAACAAGACCCAAACATAGTAGATGCCTATGTCAATCATTTTAGACAATTGAAAAGATGAGTTAACCCTGATGATGCCTTTTCTGTTGACTTCACTAAACAACTATTTATCCAAGAACTATACTCTGAATTTTCTATCAATATGCAAGCTAGTAAATCTGCTAACCTAAATGCTATTATTACTACTGCAAAGCAATGGGAAACTGAACATATAATGGCTATCAACACTATTACAAAAACAGACCAAGCTATTAAACAGCTAACAGACCAGATTGCTAAACTTAGTATCAACTTTGTACATTAACAACAACTACTCCAACCTCAATCTACTAACTATACAGCTACATCTAATACTAACAGACCTTAAGCTAAAGATTCATATCACTGCCACTACTATGAATATATAGAACATTTTATTATTAAATGTAGAAACCAGATAAGCTAAACAACAATTCAGCCAAAGAGATAATTATAAAAGAAATGATAGATGCAACCAAAGGTCTTGCTTTTGAAGTCATAACAGATTTTATTATTGAAACCTTTCTAGAGAAAAAGAAAACTCTAGAGAAAGAAGCAGATATTCAGACTCTTATAATAGTGATAGAAGAAGAACTA